CCTAAAAATGCTTAATGTAATACATTTACTCTTTCTACAGGGTAGTAGTTCTATACAGATGACCCTTTCAGAAGTGATGTCAGTAAGCAAAAGATATTGCAGAATAAAATTCTAATTAGAAACTAATAAGTAGGTTTTGAACAATCTTCTGCACATAGTTAACAGTAATGCATGTAATTTTAAAGAGCTACACAGACAATAGACTGTAGTTGGCACCACTGTTAATAGATTATTCCACTAACAACTTTGGTACCAGAATAAGGCAATTTGTTTAAATTGGTTTAAATAATGACATTCTGACCAAGTCAAATAGACTTTTGCTGAATTATAAACTTGTGCTGAATTCTGAATTTCTACATTAAAAGGTTAAAAAATTATATATTGAACTCTGAGGCTAGATTTGTTAAAATAAAGTAATTGCTTATTTTATCATTAGTGACAGGATTCACAGAGATATATTCTGCAATAACTCAGACCTCTTAAAATTCTTTTCCTAGGAAATAGCCATAAGCAGATTAATTGAGTTCCTGCCTGGATATCTTTTGATTTGAAATGGGTATGACATTCATTAAAATAATTTAAAGAATCTCATACAATGAGTGGGCTGGTGATGCCTAAAGGAGCAGACACTGATTCTTCACCCACTTGGCACACAACTAAACTCTAAACTTCTGTTGCTTTTTTAGAGTAGCACACTTTAACTGGTGACAAATGAAATATTTAGAGATAATCAGTAGCCTAAGGAGCATATCCTTCAAGATCCTAAAAGCTAGTGATAAACCTAAGTTGAAAGCTATGGTGTGGAACACTGATTTCCTAAGACGCCTGACTGTGAGGAAAGAACAGGCAGTCTATGGACAATAAAATTCTAAGGAAGCACACATTTTGGCATGACACACAAACCATGTGTGCTGAAATGATAAGGAGTATATAAGGAAAGCTAATTAGTCATTGTCACCAACAAAATGACATGGAGAAAGACATGGAATATTCCAGGTAAGCTGTGAGGGAGCAAAATTCTAACAATTGGATGACAACCTCTGTGTGTGTGTGTGTGTGTGTGTGTGTGTGTGTGTGTGTGTGTGTGTGTGTGTGTGTGTGTGTGTGTGTGTGTGTGTGTGTGAGCTTGGTAACACATTTGCTTCTAATAATGTTTAAAAACTGCAGTTTTTTTAATCATGGTTATATAACTCTATGCCTTTGACCGTGTGTTGCAATTCACATGTTTATTCCATCTGGGATTAGTAAGCAGCTATGGTATAAAAAGCAATTCAGTCTCAATTCAGTGTAATTCAAAATCTGATCTGGATTGAAAGAAATAAATCATTGATGAAATCCCCATACTGCCCGTAGACAACTGAGTAAAACATACAGAATGGTATTGAAAAACCTGCCTTTAGTTTAGCCTTCGGTTAACTAAAAAATTGGAGTTACTTAACTTTTCTCTGCCTCCATTTCCTTCCTTCCTTATTAAGTAGACGACATCAGTAAGACCTAATTATTCAAGGGTGTTTTGCATATTCAACAGTTAATTATCTCCAGGGCCCAAGATAGTATCTAGCATGTGACTGGTACTATTTATATATTCCTTTCTAAGTCATATAACTTACTCCTCTGGAGTAAGGGGATATTAGAATCTCTGCTGGCTTTAAGAGTGGATAAAGGTCCAAGCACTGGTACTGGTGGCTCATGCCTATAATCCTAGCTCCTGAGAACACTGAAATCTGAGGACCATGGGTTGAAGCCAGCCAGGGCAGAAAAGCCCATGAGACTCTTACTCCAATTAATATCAAAAAAAAAAAAAAAAAAAAGCTGGAAGTGGAGCTGTAGCAAGTGGCAAAGTTTTCTCTTTGAGTAAAAAAAAAAAAAAAGAGCTAAGGTGCAGCACAGGATCTGAGTTTAAGCCCTAGGACCTGTGAATCCCCCTCCCCCTCCCCCATCCCCCTCACTCACCCAAGAATAAAGGTGCAAAACTTCACAGTTTATCCAATAGTTATTCTTCTTCTCCTCCCCACCATATCCTACCCAGTGAGCTAGATTACTTCTTAGTTTCTCTTGTTAAATGAAAAAATGGAACTAAGAAAATTGTGAGGAGGAGTGGGGATGGGAGAATGATCAGAAGGGTGACACGATCAAGATGCTTTGTACTCAAAAACTCTGTGGAACACTTACAAATAATTTAAAATATTAAAAAAAGAAAGTCAGACATTGGGGGCTCATGTTTTTAATTCTAAATGCACAGGAGGCTGAGACATGAAGCTCACAGTTCAAAGGCAGCCTGGGCAGGAAAGTCCATACGACTCCTATCTCCAATTAACCACCAGAAAACCAGAAGTGGAGCTGTGGCTCAAAGTGGAAATGTACTAGCCTTGAGCACAAATGCTCAGGGACAATGTCCAGGCCTCACTACCAACAACAATAAAAAGATATCAGATGGGAGATGAACTGTTCCTAACCATCTCCCCCCCTTCCCGCCCCGCAAAAAAGATTCTCTTTCTGGCATCCTGTTTAAAAAGAATCTCTTTTGTCCTTAACTTTGCAGTCAAGTTGGATTAGAAGTGACCAGTCACTCTTTAGCAGATAATCAGCTCCCTTCACTCATATAACCATTCCTATTTAGGCCTCAGTCAAAGTGGAAGCTTAAGAGTTCTCAATTTAAGTACTGAATTTTTGTCCAAATAAACTACTCACATGGATTCCTATTTCTGTGCCCCTGCAAGGTAATTCTTGTTAAAATAAATATAAATGTCTATGACTAACATATGCCCTGAAAGTTTACCTAATACAACCATAATTATTGGTTTTTACTGAATTTGGATTGACCTTTGGACCAGAAGACCTGTGAGAAAACAAAAATTAGAAAGCTAGGGACCAGAATAAAAAGAGATAACCAAAGTCTCTAACAAGCTTGTTAAAGAAATGTTCAAAATTGATTTAGTACTCATGAATATCCCAGACAAAAGTCAGGATGAGAGCCTGCATCAGCAAACAGAAGTAATCCATATTTTGTTTCAAAATGCAAATAAAATAAAAATATCTCTTATGTGCACAATTTACAATGTACTAGACAAGTAAATCTTCAAAAATTAGATAATTTCCTCCATACAGATCATAGATTTATATAGTTATAAGACATTATTTTATTAGAATTCTTTTAAATATTTAGTTAGTAAGTGACAAAGCAATTTTGTTATATCCATTTCATATAAAATTTTAGGAAAATAATTATGATTGACAGCATTAATAAGTACCATTATACTCTTCTTACTACCTTTTTAAGTATATACTTAAACTCTTATTTTAGTGTAAAGAATAGCATATATAATTGATTTTATATTTTTGCTTTCTAACGAATTAATTTTATTTTTTAAATGTAATTTGCATAAATTATACAAAGGGGCTTCAATTTGATATTTACAACTTGTACATAATGTACTTGTATCAAATTCACTCCATCTATGTTGTTCTTAGAATATTACTCTTTAGCTTTTTCTAATGACATTACAATGTTAACTAAAGTGTTAGCTTATATATGCAAGGGCTTTCATGCAGAACACTAAAGTAACTTATTCTCAAGCTTTAAGAAATATAACAGTGGCTTGTAAGGAAGAAAACTTATTACATTAGACTTTCTGTCTAAAAAAATAATATGGACCAGATCTCATGTTTGTTTTTGTTGGTCGTAGGGCTTGAACTCAGGGCCTGGGTGCTGTCCCTGAGCTTCTTAATGCTCAAGGCTCTACCACTTAAGCCACAGAGCCATTCCTAGTTTTTGAGTGGTTAATTGGAGATAGGAGTCTTACAAGGGACTACTTTGCCTGGGCTGACTTCAAACCCCAATCCTCAGATCTCAGCCTCCTGAGTAGCTAGGATTATAGGTGTGAGCCACCAGTGCCCTGCTTGCTCCTTTGTTTTCTAACGTTAAAAACAAGCCCTATTTTTTAACAGCTGAATCTAAAAATTACTACACTCAGATATTAATACAGAAATATTTGAGGTAAGTAACCCAAATCTAGTCTCACTGGCACCTTGTCAGATTATAAAGGGTCTAAAAAAAAAAAAAGATTGTTTTAGCTGGGTGCTGGTGGCTCGTGCCTGTAATCCTAGCTACTCAGAAGGCTGAGATCTGAGGATCATAATTTAAAGTCAGCTTGGGCAAGAAAGTCTGTGAGACTTATCTCCAATGAACTACTAAAAAATCAGAAGTAGAGTTGTCACTCAAATGGTCAGAGTGCTAGCCTTGAGCAAAAAAATTCAGGGAGTGCTTGAGCACACACACATAAAAAGATTCTTTTAGTAAAACAAGCACACTGAATAGAGAGGCAAAACACATACACAAACAATTGATTTCTTGAGAAATAGCTATGCCAACAACATAAATTTTAAAATAATGAAGTAAGGACTGAAGTAAAATTGTCCTCAGAGGAGGAAATAAATGTATCAACAATTGTACTGTTCTTATTATCTGCCCAGATGGATGTGCCACATGAGACCCAGCGAATGGGGTTATGAATGACGACCTACTGTTAGGTAAAGCAGAATGCTAGTCCACCTTCACAAGAAAATCAAGTCAAGTGAATGAGAACCTGTATCTCACCTAAACATGAAGTCTGAATTTAAACATTTGTCAGCAAATTATAAGGCAAGAATGGAGAACAGCAGCAGAGAGAGGGGAGAAAAAACAAACAAGAAAGGAGCCCCCAATATATTTTATTTGAATGTATCCTTCTACATAATTTAAATGGCTGATCTACAGTTTCATTTTAATGATATATTCCTGTCACACAGGACCTTTTAAGAGTTGTGTAATCAACTTCTAATTAGTTTATAATTACTCCCCTACGATGGCTACAGGGCTTTAGAAGGGGACTGGGAATGGTGGATGCCCGAGGCTTAAGCTTAGCAGTTCTATACATGGCAACAAGTTTTTGAAAATGTCTGTATGACAGGGTCTAAGGTCTGATTTCAAACAGTTGCTACCAGCAAAGGATGTGCCTTACCATACAAGTATCCAGATCTTCTAAGCGCTCTACCTCTGTTAGCTCCTCCACTGTGACAACAGAGCGTTTCACTGGCTTCTCCTCAGCCAGTTCGATTTCTAGGGACTCTTGATGAAGAAGAGCTTTGCCGCGTCTGCTGAAATGGTCTGCCTGTAGGTAGGATTGAGACCATACAAGGAGAAATTAAAGCACAGGGGACAAGGAAAGAGCTGGTTAGTCTAATTTCTGAAGACATCGTCCACAAGATGGCGCAGTGGAGCCCTAACTTGGCAAGTAGTTAAAGACAATAAAGCTCAACCAGTGTTACTTCACCTTTCATTCTCTTTCTTTGTAGAACATCGTTTTAAGCAAGAAATTACAAACCTCATAAATAAGGAGACTACTTATCCTTGAATAAAATAAGTAGTTCTCTTTTTAGTAGTTTTGAAAGAAACTCCTTTCTATACTAGTGCATATATATATGTGTATATATGTATATATGTATATATGTATATGTGTATATATGTATATGTGTATATATATATATATATATATATATATATATATATATATATATAGCAAAATGAGTTTTAGCTTGCATTATTTTTAAAAGACTGAAGGAAAGAAATCACCAAAAAGTTTTATGTCTTGCTACCTTTCATCATTTTCATGTAAGGAAAACCAAATTTTATATGAATTGTTATTTCCACGGTTTTGCTTTAGGCATATACCAAAAAAATTAAATGGTATCAAGGTAGAATGAGCTGGATGAACTTCAAAAGTTCCAGAATTGAGCTGATTTGACATCAGAAACTTTTAGTTAACTCTTCTGAAACAGTGAGAAGCAGCAATATGTCTGTGAATGCGTTGGGAACACTTCTAAACTTAAATTGGAGAAAAATGGTATCTAAGCATGATAGAAACCAAGTTCCATTTTGAAGATGCTATCTTATTCATACAGCATCTACACTTTTTGTCATCCAAACCCACAGTATTGATATGAACATGAAGTTCAAAATAACACAGAAGTGCATTCTCACAATTCCCTTTCAACTGAAGACAGAAAATATCAATACTTTTGGAGTAAATTCTTCAATGAAGGGGACAAATGTGAAAAGGTGAAAAATTTAAGGTTCCAATGCCGTTCTCAAGTGCAGACTTATGCTGATCCAGTATCCAGTGTTTGTGTCATTTTGAGGTATTTCCTGGAGCTGAGAGACATCAATAAACTGAGACATCAATTAACTGTTGCTAAAAGAAACTTTCTATTGATTTTGTTTGTGCTTATTTTTTTTTTAAGTCTCAATTGAGAGCTTGAAACAGTGAAGTAGCTCTTTACTGTGCCAGGAACTAGAAAATAGTGCTGCTGTAATGTGGCTATATATGCATATCTCAATTTGGTACAAACCAATATATTGATAAAATACAATAAACAGAAAATTTAGAAAAATAATGTGTTTGAATTCAGTGCTTATGTCAAACTGCCCTAGAAGTTTCTTAAGAAAGTTTTTTTTTTTCTGTTGGTTTCTGAGAAAGTGAATGCTTATGAACTAGTAATCACTTATTAGTGGGACCAGTTCCAGTCCACATGTAATATTCTGAGCAATGCTAACAGATGTCTTATTTTTTTTTTTGTAGGAAATAGTCATACATCGCTCTCATTTATCTGCCTCACATAAAGAAACTGTAGCTGTTTTTTTCATTTTAGTGTCCTTTATGGTATCCCCAAAATTCATTGTCATAAAATGGGTTCCCTCCATCCTGCACTGTTAGCTTAAAAGTCTTTCTATGGAGAAAGCTCTGTAGTAAGTTGCTTAGGAGATTTTTGATATTTTGGAGACATATACACAGTTATAAAACCTTAACTGCAGGGCTGAGAAGGTGGCTCAGTGGTAGAGCGCTTGCCTGGCATGCATGAGGCCCTGGGTTCCATTCCCCAGCACCACATAAGCAAAAAGAAAAAAGCTGGAAGTGGCACTGTGGCTCAAGTGGTAGAGTGCTAGCCTTGAGCTGAAGAGCTGAGGGACAGCGCCCAGGCCTAGAGTTCAGGCCCCACGACTGGACCCCCACCCCCCCCCCCCAAAAAAAAAAAACAAAAAAAACAAACCTTAACTGCCCCATAAGACTTCCGGGCCACATTCCTAGCTCCTTCCAAAATTTTTAACCTGCATGAAACATGAGCAAGATTTCTAGATATGATCCCTCTTGTTTTCCTCTGCCATTCCCTCTAAAGAAATCCTAATGCTCTCCAGAATGTCTAGAAGCAAAGGATAAGGGGAAGGAGGAAAATCAGGATCTTTTCCCATAAAATTGTGAAGAAAGGAAATACAGAAAAGAAACCACACCTCCATATATCACAAAGCAACGATAACAGGAGCCCTTGCTTATGATGTGCCCTGCACTTACCAGCTTATGATGGCAGTGTGAGAGTGCATCCAGGATTTCATCCACAATCCGATCAGACAGGAAGGAGGCCACTGTCAGCTTCACTTCACTGTGTGAAAATTAAAGGGAAAGAGTAGCATTTTAATTTGTGCAAAGGAGAAAAAAACGCTTATTCACCTTGATCCTGTGCTGGTAAGGTCAACAACTGTGATTCCATTTCTTTCTTTGAAAATGGAATGCAAGAATGTGTGAACAGGGCTAGAGATTTCCAAAAATAAGCTTTAAACACTGCCATAAACACACAGATAATAGACTTTCTTTACCTATTTCAACCTGCCTCTAAATTTAAAACTCAGGATTTAATGGCAGGAATGAAAAACATCTGGATAGAGACAAATGTAATGGCAACCATATGAACCATGTGGCATGGTACAATTCACCCATTGACATAAATGAAAGCAAACCTAGGCTGGAGTAAATTAAGAAAGTCTAGCCTGGTTGCTAAGTCATAGCTATTACTTTAATATGTGTATTCCTTACCCTTTGAAAAAAAAAAAACTTTCACCAAATGGTACTGTATTATACCATTTCTGTTTTGACTTGCCATCTTACTGAAAATGCACTGTACCCCTATCTTTATAAATGCTACAATTTCCAACTTGGGTGACTCTTGTCTGAGCTTAGACAATTGCTCAGACAACATAAAGTTGTAATTTTCATTATTAAACAAACTCAGTCATTAAAAAGTTTCTACAGGAGGCTGGTATTTTAGTTCACAGTTCAGCCATGTGATGATATTCACAACAATTCAACTTCCATGTGTGTTTTCAAGCTAAGGAATCCCACTTACACGCACATATGACCAGATGTCCATAATTACACAGTACTTTTAAAGGAAAATGTGAGGTATTGTCTCACAAGCTCAGCCTCCTTTTAAAGCCAACAAATGATTTTTTTCCTCTATCAGAGCAAGTAAAAGAGTTGCCAAAACAACATGTCTTAATCCTAAAATTAAAGTTGAGAGTACATGTGTGTAATGGGAAAAAGATCTTTTAAACCTAAAGGCAATAATGTGCATTGATTATTTCTGTTGGGGAAGATTTCTATGAGTAGGACAGCAGAATGGAAGTATTGACTATGGTGTCTACTCTAAAAACTCACCGGAGCTAAAAATAAAAGGAGGTCTCTTTAATTCTTTTACCTGAAAGGAAGTCTTACTACATTTATTTTACCTAATACTTTACGAGTTATTACCCAGAGGTATCCACTGGTAAGACTTACTTGGGTCTCATATCCAATATAATTTTAACAAGAATTTCCTCTGATATTTTTGTAAGCCTGGAAAGTGCCCTTCGTTGTGAAATTCTCAATTCTATACTTTGTTTCTGTCTCATCTCTTCTTTGAAAGTAGGAAGGAGAGATTTACCTATTTCAAATTGTAGCACCAAGAAGCAAAACTCAGGAAAAATACATTTTAAAATGTCTTGGGATTTTTCAGTTTGCAAAACTTTTCAAAAACTTGGGTAACCTTAATCTGCATGTGCACACATACGTATATGAATATAAACCTCCTTGTGTGCTTGTGTTGATATTTTCATTCAGTTCATGCTCAGTTTAGCACATTATATAAACAGCCAAATAAAGAATCAATGGACATAAAATTGATTGACCAAAGTGAAGAGTCTTATCTTTCCCTTTCAAAATTTGCACATTATTTTATGGAAGTGACGATATTTGACAGAATTTGATGCATTATAATAAAGGTATCAGAATACACTCTATTGGAGATTGATCCTATTACTATGACAGAATGGTGGCCAATAAAATTTTCTTGCTTATTAAAGGTGATATCAATATTAACTATATTTTTATCTTAAACATATTAACCTTTCAATACTTATTTTCACTAAAAAAATTCTGAAGTAGCAGGTAACAAAAGTATGCTTACTTACCTTGTTAAAGGCTTTAATTCCTAAGATCACTAACTATGGTATCTAAGAAACTCTCTGAAAAACTTTAAAAGTTTTTCTAATCTTTCCAGCTATATTTCAGCTGAATAGGCTCTAGGAGCGTTATTTATTCAAACAACAAACCCTAATATCTCTATCTTCAACCTGAGACTGTCAACCAGCAACTGTCCAATCGCTGTAGAATTCCTAAATCCTCCTGTAAGGCTTCAGTATGTAAATAATGATTTAATCTTTGTCTTGTTCTGTTCAAGCTGTCATTTTTCCTCATAACTTGGCTGCATCATTATTGTTAGATTCATTCCCAACTCTCCAGATAGGTGTGACTATTCTTCTGCTACAACATTCTTATCAATATTCCAAAATAGCTTCAGTAGGAAATCAAAAGTATTTCTGAACTTTCTCCAAGGAGGAGACATACAATTAGCTGAGTTTACAATGGAAAACTGATGACAGCCAAGAAACTCTAAGTAAAAATTAAGGAAAATTTGTCAGTGATCATGGCTCCTAAATATTTATATCTCGGCATATTTTTCAAACTGTGACAGCACTAGTATACACATAACACTGCAGACACATCAAAATAAACCAGAAGGCAAACATGGCAAGGTCAGAGTGGGCCTCTGCCTATTTATAGGCAGTGTGTTTGCTCACAAAAAAAACCATGGTGATAGAAAGCAAACTGCCCTCAGCCTTCAAGCTAGTCATTTAGAAAGATGAAAGATAAACCCCAGAGGCAAACACAAGGAATTAAAAACACGTACACCCCTTTTAACTATAGAGCCCTTAAAAACAGCCTAAAACTAGGCTCTTCAGTAATGCATATAGATAGCCTTATTTTGGAAATGGTAAAACTACGCATTTATGCACAACTATATACATAGAGAGAGAGACAGTCTGCATACTAGATATGCCTAACACATTACATATGGATAAAAGCCACTCTTTCCAGCTGCCTCAACTGCATTCAGACACTGCAGCTCATTGCTTTATCAACAGTATAAACCTACCTAATTTTGTTAAGGATATCAATTCCAGACTGCTCCAACAGGACATTTTTAACAAAGGTACGTGGAATGGAAATCTTTTCAGTGCTGGCATGAATCAAGTCTTGTCGAATGTGGGCTTTTTTCATCACATTGGGACAAAGGTTCTCAGCGGCATCAACCATGGATTCGAGTAAAGCCTGCAATGCAGCAGAGTGCAGGAGAGATGATGACACTGCACCGGAGGCAGGACCGTAAAACTGAGAGGTGGTTATATACGACACAGAGCCTGAGAGTCCTGGGTGCGATCAAGGATTTTCAGCTGCCCCAGGGTGACTTTGTGAGCACTGGATGATCACCGATCTCAGGTAATCATTTTACGTCAGACACTTCTCACAACACACAAGCTTCCTGCTGCTATCTGAAGTGTTGTATTGAGAGGTGAAGTTAACAGAAAGCCATGAATGAGAGGATTAACAAATACGAAGATCCAGCCTTTGTGCACCAACTTACCACGCCAGAGTGTTCTCCCTGGTGCTAGAAAATAAACGTGCAGAGATGAACCTCAGATCTAAAAATATCTCTTAAAAAACTATCAGTTTTGAATGCATGTGAGTCTCAAATCACACAAACTCCAAATTAGGACAAAGCACTCAATAGCTCCATTAAGCCAGCAGCAGCAGAAAAATCAGAGAAACTACTGCCAATTTTAGATTCTTTTTTTTTTTTTTAAAGAAAAGCCTTAGTGTTAAGTAAAACAGTAATTATGATAACCACAATAAACAACATGAATAATAACAGACAAAACATTTACAGAACACTTTATAAACAACATTAATAGTAATAATCAAAACACATTTGTATTAACACTACAGAATCGAAGGAACATTTCTTCACATTTTCTCCTTTCAGCATCTTGGGGGACAGACAGCGCTTCTATTTCTGGGATCCTCGTTTTACAGTTAGGGAATGTGAGCTAAAGGAGGTTAAACAATTTGCCGGAGACAGATGATAGGACTGAAAAGCGTGGTAAGGACATTAGCCTTTGTGTCAGACCTGAGTTTGCAACCTGAGTGACAATAGGTGAAGTTACTGATCTCTAAGAACAAAAAGTTTTCTCTTCATAGGATTATTGAGGATTGAGTGATCCTACTTATGTAAAGGTTTCAGAGAATGTATAGCTCGCACTGGAAGAGCTCAGGATATTATAGGTCTGAGTAGTCATCTGATTTCTGAGACTACTCTTACTACTCTCTCCCCCACCCAGGAGTGCGGCTTGAATTCACGGTGTGGGTGCTGGCTTTCAGCTTTTTCACTAAAGGCTAGTGCTCTAGCCACAACTCCATGATTTTTAATGGTTAATTGGTCTCTCACAGACTTTTTGCCCAAGTAGGCTACAATCCTTATATCTCAGCCTCCTGAATAGCTAGGATTACAAGAGTGAGCCACTGACACTGGGCTGATTTCTAAGACTACTCTTAATGATTAAAAAAACAAACAAAGTAGATTTTTCAAAGACAGGCTGAGATGTTATTTCTGTTCTGGTGTAAGCAAGGACCTATCTAGGTTTGTAAATGAAAGACTAGCTGAGTCGTCTAGTTGCCCACATATTCATAGGCAAACTCCAACCCCATTAATAGAGCCTCTCATCATACCAGAATAAGCAACAAAATGGAAGGCTGTTCATAAGGATCTCCTAGAGCCCCGGGGAGAAGAGTAAAAGGCAACTGCCTCTAGAGAAGTTTAGAAAAGGCATTCCTATTTATTTATTTATTGCCAGTACTGGGGCTTATACTCAAGGCCTGGCTCTCTCCCACTTGAGCCACACCTTTTTGGTAGTTGAGATTAAGTCTCATGGACTTTCTAGCTGGGCTTTTAGACTAAATTACAGGCATGAGCCATTGGTACCAGGCAACCAATCCTATTTTGACAACTCTCTGTCCCTACTATAACTCTGTTCCAACCATCAATGATTTAATACATTATTCAAGAAAGCTCCTACACCATGCATCTGCAGGGGACAACAACACATCAGTTTTAAGACCAAGATAGTGTACTTTCTTCTTGGGCATAAACAAACATAATAGTACAACAAATCTGAGAAGAGCGACCTTGAGTAAAAATATTAGTCACCTATCAGCTGCATTGTGATTGCTCTTCCTGCTTGGCAGTGCTAATTCCCTTAGAATAAACTCCAGATGGAAAGAGGTGGTCTGCCTTCCAGTGCCAAGAAATTGCTGTGGGCTGTGAAGTGAGTTGAGGTAAGTAAATAAACAGATTTTGCACTGTCATCTAATCCAACTTTGCTCTAGAAATTCATGATCACATGGCTTGGGTCTTGTAAAAAAAAAAAAAAAAATGTCAGCTTGTCTTAGGGGATTTTTTTTTTTTCCTAGTCCTGGGGAGGGCCTGAGCTTCTTTTGCTCAAGACTAGCACTCTACCACTTGAGCCACAGCTCTACTTCCTGCCTTTTTTTTTTTTTTTGGTAGTTATTGGAAATAAAGAGTGTTATAGCCTTTCCTGCCTACGCTGGCTTTGAACCATGATCCTCAGTTCTCAGCCTCCTGAGTATCTAGGATTATGGTGTGAGCCACCAGCATCCAACTGCCTTAGGAATTTAATTCAACAAATATTTTGCTGTTAGGTCCCTTACCATGACCTATATTGTAACACTGACCAACCAACAATATAATATAGAATGTTCCACCCTGCAAAGTCATTTCATCCATGATTTCTTTCAATTCACAAAGTAGCAAATGAGGGTGATTTTTCATGACCCTATTTTATAAAGGAAGAAACTGGGGCAGAGAAGATAAATGACGTGCTAAAGGTCCCAAGCTTGTGGTTGGAACTGGGTAAATTGGGGCCTCAGGTCTTCTGTTTCCTTGTTTTCCTTTTCTAGTGGTCCTGTCCAATGTCTAAAGGAAACGCCACTCCTTTCTTTCTGCTTCACCCCCTATGCTTTTCCTCCCCTGCCAAGCCAGTGGTACCCAAAGCTGATGGTATATACTCTTTGATAGCAGGGCTGGGAGAAATATCACAGGACATGTAGCTTTCAGTCCAGGTTCTTAGACAGGATCCCCTTCCAAGTCCCACGGCCCTCTGTGCACCAAATCCTGTTCATCAATATCCACCCTTTCCGTGGCTTTCAATGACTACTTTTGCTCCAATGCAACTCAAGTAAACATGTTATCTATAATACAGCAGGGTGTTTAAAGGAAATGCCATTGGCCTGGCCAATGCCTGTGACAACCAAAACTAACCTAGCACTTCCTTCTAATGACCTCTAAGAATGTAATAGTGCAGCTGTTTCAGTGGCTTCATTAGAAATTTTTAGCATGCATGCTATATTTCATGTCTAAAGCAACATTCTCCAACAGAACATCTGGGAGGAGTTTCTGTGCTAGCCAATTGAGGATCACTAGCCCTGTAGGACTACTTAAGTACCTGGAATTTGAATTTCACATTTTATTTGATTTTAATTTAAATAAACTATGGCTAATGGATAACATTAGGCTTAATATTTCACTTTTAATTAAGGACAGTGGGAAGTTTTAACTTACTTCATTATGACTTACAAACTCATTTCTAGCACTGTGTTTGCTTTTTCTTATAAACACTTTGGACATGAATGCTGGTTCTACAACAGCATGTTTCTAATTAAGCCACAATTGACTTCCCCTGCTCCCTAGTCTTTCTTGCAGATCAGATCTTTTCCTTTCTCCCAAAGTGTATCCTTTGGCTTTCTTTTTTTTTTAATGTCACCTAATGACAGTAAAGTATCTAGCTGTATCTAGTATCTGGTTTTGTTTGTTGTTTTTAATGAAAATACCTTTATCTAGTCCTCATTCACAAATATTAGGTCCAATAAATATACAGTTTGCAGGTCCTCTCAGAACTCTGGGAATATTATTCCATTGTTTCTTGTCTTTAACGGTTGAGAAGTAAGCTGTCAGTTTTTGGTACAGGGACTGAACTGGAGGCACTATGCTTACCAAGCAGTTGGCATCAGTCCTTTTGTTTTTAATCTGTTTACCAGATGGTTACATGCTATCTTTTGCTTAGGTTGGTTTTGAACACGATCTATCACTGCCTAATGAATAGCTGATTGTAATCAGCTGGTTTGAACATGGGCTTTTATAATCAATTACAAAAAGCTTCCCCATCTCTCACCTTGGACTCCTTTTGAGACCTCTTCTTCAGTGTTCCACTTTTCATGATGATAACTCGCTAGACATAGGTTTGCTTTAGTTGCTTGGGCTTCACAGGGCTTCCTGAAACCCATCTCTGAATATCTCAGCTACCATCTCTTTAAAAATTGCCTTCTCCCATTTTCTTTCCCTCTGGAAAGCTAAACCAGGCTAAATTTACTCTACCCATCTTTCTGCATTTTTCTTATATATTCTTCATTTTGTTAGTCTGTGTTTTATTACCTTCAGACATCTTGCAATGAGTAAGGTCCTGAATTTGAAAGGTATCAATCAGATTTTATTTTTCTAATGATAGTCGGGAGGGTGTGTGTGGCTTTGTCTAGAGCTGGCCTTGGATAGCAATCCTTCAACCTCCACCTCCCACTCAGCTGGTATAGGCCACCACATCTGGCTCAGTTATTTTAAAAAGGTATTGCTAACTTTTTGCTTCAGGCTGGCTTTGAACCATGACCATCCCACCTCTAGATGTATATTTCTTAATTGTAAAAAATGACTATTAGTACTGAAGAAATCTATATAATATGCGTAAAACAAATTGGATTAATATCTTATGATGTCAGCTATACTCATGCACTCTGAAGCAAGCCGATGACTTGCAAATATAAGTTCCAAACCAAAATGTTCTGAAAACTTTCATCCTCTTGCTTTGGGAACATAAAATGTAGGAAAAGGAAAACTTAGAGAACTCTCTCTCTTAGCCAAACTGAGTTAATACTTGACAAAATGCCACCTAAACCCTTCAGGTCTCATATCCTAAGTAAATCTGAAATTTACCAGGGAAGTATTTCACCATGTAAGTCCTGAGTGAAGTCAAGAATTTCTCAGGCCAAAACAAACACCCTGAATTTTAAATCCAGAAGGGAAAAAAATGCAAGTTTCCTTATGTTAAAACACTCAAATCCCATTACTACATTTACTATATTACTCCAGGAGTAAATGTCAGAATAAAAAGACAGAGAAAAGGAGACTTGTTATTCTAAAACACTTAAGACAAGCTGGTCCTAAGAAAACATCACCTCATTCAAGAAGTTTCTCCTGACTTAATGCTCCTGTAAGAAGTCTAGGCTTCTTTGGCCATTTCTTTTGCTTTCTGAAATAATACTTTTGAAAGATGGCTCAAAGAGCTACTTGAACTTTTTCCTCATCCAACATTTAAAATGCTCATTATGGGCTACAAAACAAAATGATCAAGATTAAATGCCCTGATTATCATAAGACAAAATAATTTTGTACAAGGCAACTTCATCATAAGAAACTTAGGCAACAACCACAATAGCTTAATAGCTATATACATATGCTCATATAAAATGATGCTAATCAAAATGAACTCCAAGATATGCAAACAAGAGGTTTGTTTTTGTTTGTTTGTTTTAATGTACTTTGTGACATTATTTCTTTTTCTTTCATTTTTTTCCCCTTTGGTTTATCCCCTGTTGTCACTGTTTTTTATTTTGGTACCCTGTGTCTTGTATGTACATTTATTTGATTTGGGGAAGGAAAGGAGAATAATAAAATGGTGAGAAAAAGGACAAAGGGTGTACCAATGCAACAGTGATACTCACAAGACACTGTGATGGATATGAACTTTACAATTTGAGGGGGAGGAAAAGTGGGAGAAAAACAAGGAAGGAGGTAATAATGTTTGAAAAGAAATGCACTCATTACCTTACTTCTATAACTGTCACCCCTCTATACATCACCTTTACAATAAAATATATTTTTAGAAAATACATTTATTTCAGTATGTGCTTATAGCACATACTGAAGCCATGTGCAAATCCAGGACACAAGTCTAGGCCTTCCCTTTACTTTTCTTCCATTCTCTATAATATTTTTTTTTACATAATAACAATTATCTTTATTGTGAAATAATGAACCCAGGTTAGCGCTTGCTCATTTAATATAATTCTAGAAATTAGGAAATTTGATATTAGTGAAATAAGTAAGGATTATCATTGTTTAACAAAAATTAAATGCTGCTTGTATTTAAAAAAAAATTCCTTATATAATTTTAAGAAAACCAATGCAGGGTAACTATAAATAGAAAATGGATTGTTTTCCAAACAGTAAAAGCTATTCATTTGTCAGATAAACTGGAAGAAAACAGAAACAAAACAAACTGCCTATGGCCTGTGAAATTAAACATGTGCGTGGGTGAGGGAAAATGAAGAAGGAACATTTGATTAAGAAGTTCTTATTCACGGAAGTGGCGCTGTGGCTCAAGTGGTAGAGCGCTCGCCTTGAGCTGAAGAGCTGAAGGACAACGCCCAGGCCCAGAGTTCAAGCCCCACGACCGGAAAAAAAAAAAAAGAAATAAAGAAGTTCTTATTCACTTTTATCATGATGGATATTCCCAAAGATAAAGAAGCCTAAAATTCAGAAGGTCAGAGAATATTGAAAATGGGGGTAGGTGAGGTGGGTAGATATGAGGAACAAGCCATCCTCACTGGGCATGGAGAAATTAGTGAGACTAAGAGAAAAGTACATTAATGTGCTTGCAAATAAGAAAATAGCAGATGAATGCTAAACATTTAACAAGGCGTCAGAAAAGCCAATGACAAAAAAAAAATAGAGAATGCCTATTTACAGTAAAATCTTTGAGATGCTATATATTACATTATCTCAGGTTTGTTTTTTTAATGCATTTTTAAATGTATTGTTTCTTCAGATACCAGCCTTCTAGCCCCTCCCTAGAAAACCTAACTTTGTATGTCACAAAGTACAAGAATACAGAAGGCAGGGGGATCATCTCTGAGTTAGACCTCTTGGAGCAGCAATTGATAGTTTGAAGCTGTTTGACAGGAAAGGTCACCATACAATGCTTTATGCTGATTTAAATGTCAGCCAAATCTGACTATGTAAGAAAATCTCACAAATACTTTAAAGGAAAAGCAAACATTAGGTAATGAACATGTAATTTACAACAAAAGAAATACCAATTGATGATACAGGTACTTGATATATCAATGAATATTAAAGAAATTCAAAAGACAGAGATTATTTATAGTCCTATTACATTACAAAGATTAAATGTGATATGCTAAAAGTGTAGCCAAAAGAATAATTGTCTGTATTGCTGGACCCAAGTTTGCAAGTGTGTATGAAAGTATAAAATATATATAGTATTTTACCTAGAAGTATCACTTATAGGAAGTAAAATTAATCAGAAATTAGAGAATAAATTATGACAGTGCAGCTATACAAAAGAATACCATGTAGTTATAAAAACTAACATTTAGGGCTGGGAAGGTGGCTCAGTGGTAGAGCGCTTGCCTTGCATGCATGAGGCCCTGGGTTCAATTCCTCAGCATCACATAAGCAAAAAGAAAAAGAGCCGGAAGTGGCACTGTGGCTCAAGTGGTAGAGTGCTAGCCTTGAGCTGAAGAGCTGAGGGACAGCGCCCAGGCCCAGAGTTCAGGCCCCACGACCGGACCCCCCTCCCCCCCCCCCCCCAAAAAAAAGAAAAACTAACATTTATACTGCTAGAACTGCATTCATGACATGATGCCAAATATAAACAGTGACTACTAATCATTATGTATAGTATAATCACATAGATGTAATATTTTCTATGTAGGTACAGAATGTCTCAAAATGCACTAAATTATTAACAGTGATAAAAAAACTGCTGGGATTTTTGGTGATTTTTTTAACCTTTCTTTTAAAAATATACTTGCAGGTATAATTTAACTTTTTGCACTCAGAAATAAATAAAGCTGATTTGAAGTATCTTAAGAAAAACCTTCCATATTTTGCTTTTCATGGCAGATAGAAGTTCTATTAGGAAGTATATGGTGTACGAATCCCTTCCTACTCTTTGAATTAAAAATAATCCAATTGCCAGGTGCTGGTGGCTCCCACCTGCAGTCTTAGCTACTCAGGAGGAGGCTGAGATCTGAGGATCGTGGTTTGAAGCTATCCTAGTCAAGACAAATCCACAACTCTCCTGTCCAATTAACCAGCCAAAAGCAAGAAGATGTGGCTGAAGTAGTAGAGTAAAAACAAGCGAAGTGTGACTGAAAAACCAAGTTCAAGCCCTGTAGTGACATCAATAAATAAAAAGATTTACAGTTCACGAAAATAAAAATGGCACTTGAGTCTCTCTGTAAAAGATGCTTAGTAAGACAGAGACTTAAAACTCGTAAATTCTACAACATTTTCTACTCAGTTAACTTAATTTTCAAAGAGAATAATTAGCATATTATGAAGCTATTACTGAGTTGCACATCAAATCCCTATGAGCTCCAGCAATTGTGCTCTCAAAAGAAAATAGACCAAATAATGACAGCAATGTAGAGACAGTTTTGAAAGACATCCTTGAAAGACAGATGAGAAATTATGAAACTTTTCTGAATATGGAAATTCTTGAGTGCAGCTGCTTTGAAAAATTACCTTATGAAAAATCTAATCTTAACTTAATATACCTTCCTCTAAAATTCTAGAAACCTCAGTTTACTTTTTGTCCTAGCCAGTAAACCTACAGCAGATCCCTGTTACTTTGGGTTCACTTCATCTCCCAACTGGAGTTCTGTCAATATTACTGTCTAGCAGCCTAATGTCAGAATTCCTATTACATCTAGATACCATAAGCATAGCTGCTATCATCTTTTCTATTCTCCAAATCAAATGCACTAACAGATTTTTTTTAAATCAAAGCAAACTTGTCTTTGTGCCTACAGTCAATTTCAACCATTTTCCTTATATTATGGACAATTAGTGTATTAAATTAAGTCAGAAGTTATTCCAAAGCAGATAAAGCAGGAATATACATAGAAGTTCAACTTTTACTACACATTCATCTGCACAGCAATTGTGTACACACACACACACACACACACTCCCCTAAAACACAAGTAGCTATGACTATAATATACAGTCAAATCATAGTATTTTTATTTTCAAAATAATAAAACCCACAGACCTTTAGTTGTTCATCTACAACTCTTGTAACTTCTCCAGCCATTGATTCCAGCGTCTCTTGAATTGGATTGGATAATGAGCCACTGGCTCCTGCCCAAGACATACCACCAACATGGTATAAATTTGGTAACAACTGTAACAAAAATAATAGGTAACCTTTCTCCAGTTGAAAAAGTATTTCAATAAATAACAAAACCACTGCAGTGAAAAGGTGAAGTATTATTAAAGATCATCATAGTCAAAGCTTCTTTATACAGATTAATAAACTGAGGTCCAAACTCTATGAACATTCATTGTTATTCAATAAATCACAACTAGCCTAAGAATTCATATACTGGCATTGGAAGACCTTTACTTGACCACTTCTGTCATTCAGCACCTTAGAAATCTTTGTGCCGTTGTGTCCTTATCTGGAGCGTGAGAGTTGAGTCATTTTAATCACACTCTGTCACCAAAAGTTTAGGGGTTTGCCATACCAAGTAAGTCTCCAATTCTCTTCAGATAACAACTGAGTATCTTATAATTCAGTTCTACTCTGGGTCTATCTGCCTGGAGTTAATGTCAGATCCCATGTAAGAAAGCTCAGCCCCATTGGACTGTCCCGACTCTTCAGTTTACAGCCACAAATCATTTGTCATCAGTTGGTATGTCTGACTATGAATTCAGGAGTTCCCACAACATACACTTCAGGTTCAATTACTTATCACAATGACCCAGAGAACCTAGGGTAGAAATTTGCTATCACTGTTTTTTTTTTTTAAAAGAACACAACTCAGTAATAGACAAATGGAAGTCATGTAGAGGCATAGAGGACTTCCATGCCCTCTCCACATAGGTATGCAACCTTCTTAGCACCAATCCAACAAGTTATTGGTATACCACTATTTAGATATTTTATGAAAGTTCCACTACAGAGGTATGGCTGATCAAATCATTAGTCATTGGTGACTGAATCCAATCTCCAGTCTGCCTAAGTTTACAGAAAGTTTAGAGGAAGAGCTGAAAGTTCCAATGCTTTAATCACATAGTTTGTTCCTCTAGGGACTCACCAAGTTCTCTAAGAGGATAAACTCTGAGATGCTAAAAGGCACATGTTATCAGTAACAAAAGATGTTCCCACCACCTCTATCATTCAGGACATTGCAGGGGCCTTAGGGACAAACATAAATATACATTTCTTATTGTACCACAGAAGCATTAAACTAACTTGCATGTTCCTCTCATTAATGATCCACAATGATTACATGATCCTAATAGCAGAATGAAGAACAGGTGCAAGGTTTCATTAATTCCTGATTAATCCCTTTTCTATTAAGTCACACTTGGGGAACCAAACCCTAACAAAAATAATAGAAGCTCCCCTTTAGAGTTGACAAAAGAGAGTTTCACGTAATCAGCTTAGAAGTAAAATAATTTAAGTGAATTATTACTCAGTTAAACTATAACCACTTATCAGTTCTTCAAGGCTCAATTATACTCTCTGTATATCACATTGACTCTCTGTTTTATTATCTTACATTTTCATTATTGGTAATCTTCCCAGGCACAGAAAGAAGAAAAAGATTAATTCAGTTCATTCGCCACTTGTTAATAACTTTAGAATACAGTAGAAAGGTAAAGAAAGTTGGAACCAGTTTCTAAAATTTAATTTTGACATCTTATTAAACAAGACCCTCACAAAGCCTGAAGTGACACTCACCGTTTTAGAGTTCTTAGCATCACGCATGAGCCGTTCTGCTGATTTTAAGTCTTCCTGGATAGCATCTCCCCCACAATTTCGTAAGGAGTTGAGATGATCTTGTACTTTCACACATATCCTGTCAATCATCTTCACCACACCAGAAAAACATCCAGATCAACCAAGTTGAGGTTGAGATGAGAAGAAAAACGAAGAAAAGAAGATGAACATTCCCATACACAGAATGCATGAAGATGAATATATCTAACTGAATCTTCAATACTGCAGCTTATAACTAGTTATTCATTACTAGTTATTCATTAGTTTACCTATTCATGTAAGAAACCTTTGGCAACATTATCTCCAGAAAAAAGATCTACAGCATCTAGGTTTCTTTCCTGCCTTAAGAAAAAGGCAGCACATAAAAATAAACACATCTCTATTCTAAATCTTGTAGCTACTCAATAATATGCTGCTAGACAATAATTTCCCTTCAAAACTTTTAAAAAACATTTTTAGTAACACATTAATTGTGGGGTTTTACTGTGACATTGCCATACATAATTCTAATGTGCCTTCATCAAACGCACCCTTCTTATTGCTCTCTTCCCCACTTCCCCACTGTCAAAGTGATTTCAACAGGTTTTGTCATTTATTTTCATACATACAAAGTATAATCATACACCCCCCTCCTTTACCCTTCTTTGTTCACCCTTTCCCCTCTACTAGTACCCAACCCTCAACAGGAAGTATTTTACATTCCAGTCACTCAGTGTGTATTAATTGTTCAAGAGAGAGTTCCACCATGGTCTCTCTCTCTCTGTCTCTCTCTGTCTCTGTCTCTCTCTCTCTCTCCTTCTCATGTACACATGCACACACATATACATACATATAACACACACACATACTACATTAACTAGATGAACGCCTTTATTATTCTCTCTTTCCCCATCCCTTCTACCCATCTAATATTCAATAGCTTTCTATGAGTTTTGTAGCACCGTAATTTCATGTACAGATGCAATAGAGTTCAATATTATTCCTCTCTTCCATTTTCTTCTCCTTTATTAACCTTTATGAGCTACCCCTCTGGCACACAGAGTGGGAGGTACTGAGAAAGCAAATGTGTAATGTGGGAGGTACTGAGAAAGCAAATGTGTGATGTGGAGACAACTAGACTATAACGCGAATTGCCTATTGGTCCCAATATTAATCAGAACATCTTCTGGAAAATGACATGTTAAAAATCAATTCAACTACACCAAGTTTCTATTTCAACTAAGGTCTCCCTCTCAGGCCAACTATACTTGAATCATTTTCGCTTCATTGTGGAGACAGAGCTCTTGTAAAAGGTTAATAACCTTCTCTCTGTTCTTTCAGGAATAGATCAGTTGCAACACTGGGTTGTCATCAAGTAAAATTTCCCCTTGTGTCTTGTCTCTTCTACATGTTCCTACTTGCTCTTTTGCTTCCCATCTTGCCCTCATCCTGGTGTCATGCTCTTGGACTTCCCAGCCTCCAGAAGTATAGGCCAAACTTCCATTCTTTTTTTCCCTAGTGTTAGGGCTTGAACTCAGGACCTGGGCACTTTCCTTGAGCTTTTGCTGAAGGCTAATGCTCTACCACTTGAGCTACAGTGCCACTTCCTTAAACTTCTATTCTTTATTCATCATTGTATAGGCCAAAGTATACTTCTACTCTTTATAAGTCACCCAGGGATGGGAAGGGGAAACAAAGGAGGAGGCAACAATGCTTGATAAGAAATGTACTCATTTCCTTGCCCATGTAATTGTAACCCCTCTGTAGAGTACTTTCACAATAAAAAAAAAAATATATATATATATATATATATATATAATAAAAATAAATAAATCACCCAGGTTTGGGTATGCTGTTATAGCTACAGGACATAGACTAAGACAGAAAGCAAAGAGCCTGAAGAAAAGGACAATAACAGTATGACTTAAAGGTTTTCTCCAGTATTTTCATCAGAACTATAGTTTGTCTACTGCATGTTCTCAGTAATTGTTCATTTCTTCAGAAATTTTATATGTCTAGAGTCCTATCCTGTTTGATAACTCATTCATCAGGAGACAGTCTGATCAGACTCTTTGGGCTAAATTTTATTTTCTCTATTTAGTATGAATAATTTAATAATACAATTATTGAAAGTCTGCCCTTCCAATTCAGTAGTTTCAAAACAATATAAACTTTACCATACTACTTAGAAGACTTAAGAGTCTGATTATAGGGGCTGGGAAGATGGCTCAGTGGCAGAGTGCTTGCCTCGCATGCATGAGGCCCTGGGTTTGATTCCTCAGCACCACACAAGCAGAAAAAGCCAGAAGTGGCACTGTGGCTCAAGTGGTAGAGCACTAGCCTTGAGCTGAAGAGCTGAGGGACAGCGCCCAGGCCCAGAGTTCAGGCCCCACACCCGACAAAAAAAAAAAAAAGTCTGATTGATTACAGAGCCCAGATCTACTTGCTGCAATGTTGACTCTTTTCTTTCTTTCGTTCCTTCCTTCCTCCCTCTTTTCCCTCCCTCCCTCCCTTCCTTCCCTCCACCCTTCCTTTCTTCCTTTCTTGCTTCCTCCCTTCCTTCCTCCCTCCTCCCTCCCTTACTTCCTCTCCCCCCCCCCATTTGTCTTTAATAAAATCAGTCTTATAACATTTAGCCTCTCTTTTTTGGTACATCAAAAAGAGAATCTGTGGGGAAAAAATCACATTCAAAGCATATATCCTGCTGATAAGGGTCAATAACACCAAGGTTACTGCAGTAAGTGTAGTATGATGTACTGCGCTATATAAGTGAACTATCTTAAGATTCCACAGAGAAAAAAAGTTCTATGCCTAAAGCTTCTAAAACTCTTTTCAACTAAAATTTACACAGGAAAGTCAAGTAGGGATCACATCTAACTTTCCACATTTATACAAGATCTTGAATAGAGCTATCTACCTCTTAAAATTCTTAATTGCTATATAACCTAGCTCTTCTATCATATTGATCTGTACTTGATGAAACCAAAAATGATCATCAATAATTCATAGCTTACTAAGAATGCACTCCTAACTTCAAGAGACAAATGAATCACATACTAAAAAAAGGAACACTGTACATCTGGGGCCACAAATGGCCCATCTAAAAGGCATGTGGATGTGGCATTATAAAGTTTATCATCGTTAATAGCCATCAACAGACTGAAGACTCTCCTGAAATTTGACATTAAGTGTTCACCAAGGAGAGAAGATTTAGATGAACCCATTGAAAAACATCTTTAAGTGGAACACTTTAAAATCATGTCCAAAAGGAACATAAAAATTTAGTTCCTTAATTCAAATGACATAAAAATCTCATGTCTTTAAGGTTGTTCTGAGTATGAACTCAATTAAGTTTAGCACAATGAAATAGAGCACATGCAGATGCCAGAGTCCAAGGCATGGATAAAATAAACTACTTAACATCAAATCGAATGATGACACAGGGGACAAACTAAACACTTTGAAGACAGGAAATCACTAAGTTTGACTTACAGTTAATAAAGTACATACTCAAATTGTGAAAAATAAAAAAGAATAAATGCTAAAAAATTATGAACTCTTGAGTTATTCATCAGAAGAATTCTTGGTAGATGAATGGTTTTGGGCTTTTGAGTTTAACCTTACTTCTTCCTTGAACCCTGGTGTTCAATTTTCTTTAAAAAAAATGCAACCAAGAAAAGATGTTGTCTCTCATAGTTTCAGAAGCTCCTCTCTATCTAAGGAAATATACACTCTGTCATTATCATAACCTTTTTTATTTCATATACTTATTTTTGTTCTGGTACCAGGACTTGAACTCAAGGCCAGCACACTCCCTTCAGATTTTTCACACATGGCAGGCACTCTACCACTTGAGTCACACGTATACTTCTGGCTTCTTGCTGGTTAACTGGATCCGAGTCTCACAGACTTTTCTGCTTGGGCTGGCCTCAAACTGTGATCCTCAATCTCAGTTTCTCCAGTAGCTAGAATTTCAGATGTGAGCGACGGGGCCTCGTTAATCTTTGGGTCCTGATCTGTCTTCCTATGACGTTCCCACAGTTTCCGTATCTTCTCCTTGAGAATATCTTGAACAGTCACACACTTTCTTGAGAGTCAGCTAACTTCTTTGGTGACCACAGCACACAGCAATTTCATATTATATATTATCCTTGTTGGCAAATGCTTTGGTTTTGTTTTCTTTCAGATAGGCAGTGTTATTGAACTCAAGTTTATGATTTAAAACTATTAGTAATGAAGGTCAGTGTTGGTTACTCATAACTTGTTACAACTGTTCTAAGTACCAGACAACAGTTTGTTCATGGAAAAACTTTTATCTTCCTATATGTATATTTCTGTATTCAGGAAAAATACACGGAACACCTGGCACTAAAGACAGACAGTCCTGAAGAAGTATATCCTTGCTATCAAACACCTTAAAAACAGAAATGGAGGGCTTGGGGCACAGTTCAAGTGGCAGTACTAGAACATAAAATCCATAGACCTGGAAAGAAATTTCACAGTAACAAAATATAAAATGCCACACAATACAATATCCATAAGAACATGAACATTTGTTTTCTTCACTGATATGATTTCTTGTTTCTTTCAATAATGTCTGACATATAATTGACTCCTATTACGTGTTTATTCAATGATAAATGAATTGCAGGAGTTTCTAAGAAATCTCACCCAACATGATACCAGCTTGAAGCCAAAGACAGTTTCTTAGCTAGCTTGAATGATTTCTACAGATTAAGCAAGAAATTTTCTGTTTGCTTTTTTGTTCGTTTTGTTTTTTTGAGATGGGACCTTGCTATGTTGCTCAAGCTGGCTTAAAACTCCTGGTTTAAGTAATCCTCCTAACTCAGTTTCTCAAATACTAGGATTACAGACATGTGCTATTGTGCCTGGTTAAGAGAAGAGACTAGGCAAAAGGATGAACACATGTAGCAACATATCCATATACTTGTGACTCCTCTGATTTCCTGGTTAGAGTGGAAGGACCTTCCAATGGGAGAGCAGGTTGGACCACTGAAGGCAAATGGTATGGGACTGCAGCACAGTAGTCTACACACAGTATAGAGGCTAGCAACAGAAATAGAAAGACAAAGAATGGCTGTAAAAGATGC